GAACAGCCCAGTTAACTCTTAAATTATTATAATAATCTTTGTTTGACTTTCTTGTCATTGTGTTTAGGGACTGGGATCCAAAGGAAGAATTTTTTTTTTTTGATAAATTATTTTCACTGAGTTCCAGCTATGTTTTATAACACACTTTAAATAAGTGTAGAATTAAGTTTTCCCTTGACTAAAACTTTTCAGACCCTTTAGCATCAAATATTAATGTTCACYTATTTTACATGCAGAGGTGCTTCTACATGATTGTTATGCAGACAAAGTAAGTTTAACTGTAATAAAAAACAATTAATCTTTTTCCTGAACAGTTCGACTCTCAGTTTGAAGAGTGATTTCTGCAGACAGTGAAGTGGAAACAGTGATTTTTCTCGGTCTGATCAATGAACCGAGACGTTGATCACTTCCATTGATTTGTTTTAATCTATATTTCTTTTTATAAATATTTATGTTTTTACAGAACTAAATGTATAATCTTACAAAGGTCACCTCAACACACGTTACAYAGAAAGTTAAACAGGTGCCAACTAAATAAATATCCATCTCTCCAACTCAAACTCTTAGAAGCTCCTGGACTCATTTTGTTTTTGCAAACTGATCAGTTATGTAAAGATTAACACAATGTCGGTATAAACAGGAAGAACATGACGACTGACAAATTATCAATTTAAATCCCGTAAACTTAATTAAAGAGGACATCAGGATATGTTTTATAAAATTAGATAACCAAGTCTTGCCTTTCTTTTTGTACCTGAATGCATCGTTCTCATTGCAAACTGTTAAAAATGCAGATCTGACAGAAAATAATCATTTTATCACCTGTTGCAAATCAACATTTCAGCTTTATAAGATTAAAATGTGATGATGTATGTAGAAATAACCTTGGTCTTACATTATTTGCTGTCTTAGAAATTATCTGAATGAGCCCATATAAAAAAGATTATGCTGACTGAGATTTTCTCAGTCAGCTGTGAGGATGGAAATGATTTTATCTACAGCGGGTAAAATAAGTATTGAACACGTCACCATTTTTCTCAGTAAATATATTACTAGAGGTGCTAATGACGATGAAATTTTCACCAGATGTCGGTAACAACCCAAGTGATGCATACATACAAAGAAATAAAACAGTAAATGTCCAGAAATTAGGTTATTTGTAATAATGTGGAATGGCACCGGGAAAAGTATTGAACACACTTACTGAAATTTATCTAATACTTTGTACAAAAGCCTTTGTTGTCAATGACAACAAAGGCTTTTGTACAAAGTATTAGATA